TGGAGATGTCTTTAATTCATCATATTTAGAGATATTTACAAATATATTTGAAGATATCTCTAATTAATTTACTAATAGTCGAATTACAGTTGTAGATATCTTGAATTGGATTTTTGACGAGTCAAAACTCATTTAGAGATATCTGCAAATATTTTTCAATGGAAGTCAATGGAGGAATATGACTAGTCATAATATATTTGCAGATATCTCCAATCTGATTTCGTACTAGTACAATTGTAATTGCAGATATCTCTAATTGTCATTCTGACTAGTCGAATTATAATTATGACTATTAAAAATATAATTAGAGATATCTCTAAATATATTTATGGATAGTCAGAACAAGGTTTAAATGCTAAAACGGCTTGCCATACGCTCTCACTCAGCAGCACAGTGGAGATTTCTCTAGTTATATCGTTTCAGTCGTTTGATATGCCATCAAATATTTCGCCAAACAGTCCTTAGGGATGCGGGGACACGCAGTCAGATATTTCGCCGAACAGATCCGCCACTTTTGGAGCTCATAAACAATCATAAAGCTCTTGTGCTGCAGGAATGAGGAGGTCTGCTGAAGGCGCGCAGCTGGCGTGCTGTGAGGAGTTTGCGTCTTTAATAAACTACGGCAGTTTGCGTTCACTGAACAGTAAGAATGATTAATAAATCCATATCAAACAGTCACTTAAAAGTCACGTCTAGCTTTCGGTTTCGGGCCAAGTGTACCGCGCTCAGGCACACCTCTCCCAACCGGGCCAGGGCCGGCCAAGTGAACCGTGCTTGAGCGCGATTCAGCGCACTCACACTTCTCAAACGATCCGGGAAACGGGCCTGGGCACGGTACGGATGGCATAGTGTGAGTAGGCCCTCAAAGCATGCAAAGCAAGGGGTTACATTTCTTCCCCATCACTAATGCATTTTACCTGCAGAAGTAGGCTGAGATAGTACCGAATCAGCTGTCTGGAGACCGGTTACCATGGCACCAGCAGTTGTGTCAGAGAGGGTGGCAGGATAGTAGTACTGAGTTTCAGATGTTTCTCCCTCCACACTCTCCGACATTACAGTCTATAAACACATGCGCACATTACCCTGCTGAAACAACCTTTTTTTCAGTCTATCTATAGGTAGAAAAGACCAGATATAATACTTACAGGAGGTGTGGCTGCCTGTGTTGCTGTGGGAAACCCAGTCACCACACTGACTGCTGCAGCTCCATCTGCATGGCCTTCGACCTGCCCATCAGCCAAGTGGATGACGCGATATGTAACCTGAACCATTGGGATCAGAGATTGAATAATCATATCTCATTATCTATGTGTACAGTGTGTGAATATGCCATTTACCTGTCCCCCTGTTGCTTCCGCTTTTAGAAAATGATACTTAATTTGCTGGTCTGTTGAAAATGCAGCAGCTGATTGGATGGCTGTGACTGCAAGTGAATCATCTGTTGTGTCAGCAACACCTGATAAAGCAATACCTGGAAGTTACTGTAAGGTAACAACAACTCCTTAGAAACTATTAATTAGTATAAGGTTTTTTTTGCAGTTGAGAGGTCATGTCTTAGATCAGTGATAGTTTAACTGACCACTGAATGTGTTTTTTAGTCTCGTTGGAGAGACCATGTTTAATTTGCTTCCAGATCTGTAATCCCACACACATAGATAATCCAAACCCTTATGACCAGTGAGGCAAAAAAACATTCATTATGCCCTAACAAGACCACATAATGAGGTCTGGGTAAATTATATAGTTTTAAAAGAATCAATTCAGAGTTTTGGGCACTCAATAATGCATGGGATAAAAAGAACAAAAACTGACAAAGATTTCATGGTCATGGCCGACAGTTTTGTTGGAATAAATTTTGATTTGGCAAGCTTCAAATCATACATGAAAATGTAGAGGCACCATATAAATCAAAAGTTCAACGTGGTTTATACCAAGGCTCAGTACTTGGACAGTTGAATTTCAATGTGTGGATGTACTTAGTATTAGGATTGCGTGGTTTACCGGTATTATTGTAGTATCATGATACTATGGCTCCAAAATACTGGCGGTGCCACTGTGGTTTGTAAACGATTGCATCATCATTAACGGTCTGTCTACAATACTTAATGTTGCATGTGGAAAACTCACTAAAATGCTCACATTGTTATGCAACAATAGACCATTTTATTTGAATAATCTGTGGAGCACTTTAAGGTTGCAAAACTGTGTAGAATTAATGCCTTTTATGGTAGCCTGTTGCACATTTTCCTAATGCTTCAGTTGGAATTCAGTTGAATTACTTTGGATTCTTACCTGATAAGACTAAAAAAAAATGAATGAAAAACTCAAGAGCAACAGAAAACAATTTTTGTCCACTTCATGAAGCCTAATTTGCTCTTTTTGTAACAAAGTTTGTTCTGTATAATTTGTATCTTTATTTTAATGTATTTTTTGTTGGTCAGTTATCTACAAAATAAACAAAAAGAATAAATGCATTTTAGGTGAAGTGAAAAGCAATATTTTTTCAACAATAAGAGTATTATGAATTCAATTCAAGTAATCCTAATATAACATAATACAGTATTTCTGACAATTTTCTTTAGTTCATAGATTTGAGTTATGAGTTACAGTACTGCAGTACTAAACATGATACTTCAGCTGGTATAGTATCGTAATGTGAATTAATGGTATCGCGACAACCCTACTTAGTAAATATCATTAAGAAACTCAGAGTGAGTTTTCAGTTTGTAGATCTACATTTGTGTCGAGTGGCTGGTCTATTTCTAAACACAGAGAAAACAAAAAAGACCTTGCGGTGGAAACAGGACGTAGTTTAAGATACTATGGTTGATAACCACTAGATTGAATTAGTGGAAAGTTATAGGTACGTAGGTACTATTATTGATAATTTAAATTTTAATGAAAACATGGAAAGACTATGTAGGACAGGACAACAAAGACTTTATTGTCTGCGAAAATTAGCGAAGATTTATATTTATAGATATATAGGATCCATTTAAAATTGATTTGTTGGTTTGCTTCTATAAAAGTAAAACAGAAGAACTCAATGTCTAAAGTTTCAAATACCTGCAGCAAAGTATAAGGTGTTAAAGCACCAGGGTTATGCTAGTTGTATGAAAGCCAGGTGTTAAACACAGCCCAGATTACATCTGATATAGTCCATCCTCTTTTTGATTCATTTCAAATACTTCCCTCAGCATCTCGGTAAAGGGTCTCTTTGGCAAGGACCAACAGATTTAACTTTTCATTTGTTCCTTGTGCGATTGATTTGCTGAATTTTAATGGGAAGAGGTAGTAGCTGTTTTTTAGTCATATTAATGCCGTTAAAAGTTTGTCTTAAGTGTGTAGTATGATATACATTTTGTAAATCTAGTGTGCGGCAGAACAAATCACCCCAATTGGCCACAGTAAAGTTTACAGTAACAGTATTTGAGGCTTAATGAAATGTACCAATTAAACTTTATAGATCCTACAGTTGATTTTAATTTGATGACTAGTAATTTTTTTAATTCTAAATTTATAAAAAAAAAAAAAGGGGATTTTCCGTCAGTAAACTACATATGAATTATGTCTATTGCAAAAAAAAAAAAAAAGGTAATTTATTATTTTTATGAGCTCACATCTAGAGTATTATAAAGTGTTACAAGTTTGTTCCCTCACAAGAATCTACTGCTGGTTAAACTGCATATAACTTGGAGAACAAGCAGTTGTGTCTCATCTGACAGTTTGTGAAACACTGATTTAGAATTTAACTGATTCAATATTTAACTAAATCAATCTAGAACACGACATAACTTTCATTAGTTTAACCACTTATTGCCAGAATTTACTCGTTTCAAACTAATGAAATTTGACAAATTTTAAATAAGGTGGCAATGAAATAAATGAAAATTTACTTTTTTTGGCAGGCTGTCAAAAGCCATTTGGTTCATGTGTTTACACACACTCGGTTTAGCACTAGATGGTGCTACACAGACTGCAATCGGTCACAGTTAAATCGAAACTAAAGAGCCCTACCCAAACATGTTTGTTAATATTCCTAAACAAAACAAAACACTAAATGACAAAAATTATTAAATTTCATCTCACCGTCCTGCAGTATAGGAGAATCTTCAGGATCAGAACCCTTCCGTTTTCTTTTTTTTTTTTTTTTTTAAAGAAAGAAGATTATGCATATATTATTATAGTTTCATTAAATTTACATAAGCAAGCTTAAGGTACATGTTTATACAACAATGTAAACATAACTTTAGGAGTGTTAAAAAAATAAACAGTGCCTCAAGTTTGATATTTAGAAACTTACGTCATATTTGTGAGCAAATATTGATCTGTGTTTCAGCTGATGACCTCAAACGTAAAAATCCACTGTAAAAAATGGACAATAATATTCAATGTTTGCAACTAACGCATGATACAAACGAATATTAAAATGTCCCAACAGCTCAAAGCAGGTGTGGCGTCGACATAAGTTAACGTTAGTATTTTTACGCCGCTGCGTTAAAAGTCCCACCATACTACCAAAACGTTGACAAACCTCATGCAAAGCTATAAAAAGCGCACCATCCTAACTGATAAAGATACAAGTTCTCCATAAGCCACTTTCTACACATAGATGCGAGGTTAATTATATCAGCAGCACAAGAATTAGTCACGATTAACTACCAACACACCGCCGCATTTAGCATACAAGCTAACGCCAGGTAAACAAAGAGAAATGCAAACAACTCGCAAAAAAATGAGCTAAAACCCATCTACAAGAGTAATTACGGTGTCGTGCCCACCAAAATGAATAAAACAATAACCTGGTTAACATCTAATATGAGTTACCCGTTTGTCTTTAGCAGCAAACATTCAAGAGACAGAGGCACTCCTGCGCATGTGCCGCAACCTTTAAAGCTTAAATGTTAGCACTAGAGGGCGCCATCAGCCTCACTGTTGTGCCAGTGTGTTAAGTAGGGTTTATAAGGACATGTTTATGACCTGACTCTTCACCACACCAATAGGGAGTACAATAATATTTTATTTCAGAATAATTAAAACAATGCCAAGCATTTGGTTCACATTTACAACAGCACATGTTATTTAAAAAGGACATGCATGATATAACAGTGTTTGACATCAGCACAACCTGAACCAGTGTACACACACAAATTAAAACAGTCAGAAGACTTTGGATTTCAGAATTATATGAAACTTCTGCAAGATAGAGGATTGAGAATAAGTTTTGTGGGAGTAGAGTTATTTCAGGAGATCCAATTCATGCTCACAGAAGCTCTGACAACAGTGGGAAAGTGAGGAAGGCCAACAGGAACGCTACTCCACTGTGTTGCAAAACACTCCACGCTGAACAGGTCTGAAGCTTACCTGGGAGGAAGTAAAAAGAAGAACATCAGCCTGATCACCATCTGCCAGTCACATTCATTTCCATGCAACAGAGGAACTTGCTTGTCAGTTCCAAGTAATTATGGTATTTAGCATTTATGGAAGTTACACACAAAAAATACAAATAATAATAATGAAAGACACCAAGTTAGAGTTTGCTCTTACTCTTGTCCACAGTTTGAATGATTGACACCGGTGCGGCAGTCTGTCTGATAAAGCAAGTGTAGTTTGCAGGTTTGCTATCTGGTAAACCCTTCAAATACAGGTCACACTTGTTATCAGTAATGGTGACATTGGCACGGTTCCTGAACGTGCTGTCTGGTGTGCTGCTGCTGTTGGTACTGCCAATCAATTTATTGTCAGTCATGTAGTAGCATGTTTTTGAGAGCTTGGTGTCTGGAGCTGGAGTGAAGGTGCAGGACATTTGAAGGTTTTGGTCTTTAGTCAAGCAGGATGTAATCCTAAGGGATGTCTGGGCAGTAACAACACCTAAAAAAAAAACAATCATAACACAGCTTAGTTTTGAGGTGTAACCTTTTAGGAATACTGGTACAAAACAGACACTCAAATAATAATAATAATAATAATAATAATAATAATAATAATAATAATAATAATAATAATAATCCTTTATTGAAATTTACCAAGTAAAAAGAGAGTGGCAAAGGCGGTGTAGAACATCCTGATCACGGTGCACAGCAAAACCTGAAGCCAAAAGATGACATGTTAGGCAATACACAATAATTGAACCGATTACGTCAATACTGCATAATGTACAGAAAGCTTAGGAGACTTGTGGTTACAGGGCTTAAAGCAAATTAGATGCATGTGCAAAGTTTAAAAGGGGATAAAAAGTTATTCCTGGCAGGGTCCATACTGCCATAGTTATGTGGCAAATATGGGTGTGGTCATGACAAGCAAACAAACAAAATCTGTATTTTAACAAATTCCATATCCATTTCTACACAAGTAGGCTACTAATACATTTAAATACACAATTAACGCACATTATGCATGGACCCCACCTTAATGACTTGACCCCTTGACTTATGGTTAATGCTAACACTGATGCCCGAAGAACTCCCCTATGTAACCCTCCCAAAAAGGGCATAAAGTATTCACACACAACACAAGTTCTTTGCTGGACAAAATACAGTATTTATTTTGGGCCACAATAATCAAGTAAACGTCAAACACTCAATTCATTTAAATACTAATTTCACTTTTATTTTATACAATAATCTTAAAGATTAAAATTCCACACAAGGGGAGCAGCAGGTAGGGAATCAAAAGGACATAAAGTTCATGATGTAAAGATTGTTAGCGGACTGTATAAAAATTATTAGGTAAGGCAATTAAAATGACCACCACAAGGCATTTAACAAGGGGTAACAACCGTAATTGTGCAACACATCATCATTTCACATCAACCCAGAGTTGTAATACACCACACAGTAAATCTCATAAATATAAATGTATAAATAACACCCATAAATAGACTCCACACAGCAATCAAATCATAAGCTACCATCAATACCACTCCAGCTAAATATCAAGCCGTCGTCATTTAACATTTCCTGTATGGAGCGTGATGCTAGCCTGCGCTCATCCCCGTCACACGCACGCACGCACGCACACACACACACACACACACACACACACACACACACACACACACACACACACACACGCACAAACAGACAGACTACAAGCGCCGGGAGCAATCAAATTCACTCAAACTCCCGGCGAACAAAATGCAATACACACACCCCGCAACAGTATTGTGCTGCTGGCCCGCTTACCCGCTACCGGACGTGGGATACAGCGATTGGAAGTCAACAGCGGCCGCCGAAACTTTAGTCCGGGGAAACCCCAGCACTACCAATTATCCCTCCCAGTCATTCGCTCGCGCACAACATCATGCCCACGTCCCGGCACGATAGCCTTGGCCAGCGGCTCAGCAGCACCTGCAATCAAAAACCAAGAAAAACCCCTCCTGACCCAGAAACTACAATCGCTTTTAAAGGCTTGGACTCATTACAAATTGAACTCAGCTGTTCATCTCCTGGAAACGTCATAGACGCAAATGACGCCAGTACGCATCATTTTGGTTTGGGAAGCACCGCTTACATCCACCCCCCCTACTCAAAATGTGTCCACACATTTCCACTTAAATTCTGTAACGCTGAGGCAACAGGCCCTTGGTGGCCCGTGCAGATCGCCTCAAACCCTCCACTGATACATCAGGTGGGCTAGAGAGTCCTTCTCTCTGTATAGTCTGAGCAGTTGATTCAGTGTTGTCCATAACAGTCCTTTCATTTTCCCTTACAGGTGCAGGCAAATCTGTTAGACAGCCCCCCACCCAAGGATACATACCCCAATTACTGTTCAATGGATCAACCTGAAGAGCAGGAGCTTGCGCCCCTACTTCATTCTCTGAATGTGAGGTTACCTCAAATTTGCAGGGACTTAACATATTGCGGTGCAACACCCTCTCATCACAATTACCCCCTTCCTTCTTTACCACATAAACTGGTATGTCAAGATTAGGTTGAGATATAACCACATATGTATTCCTCTCCCACCTATCCTCCAATTTACCTTTCCCTCTGGCCCTCTTATTAAGAACCATTACCCTCTGTCCTATTAGCAAAGGTTCCCCTCTTACCCTACGATCAAACCCCTTCTTTTGATGAAGTTGAGCCTTCTGGACCTGTTTTCTTGCTTGACTATAGGCAGTTACCAGTCTTTTATGGTGATGATGCACCCAGCTGCCAACTGTTCCTGAAAACCCATCTCCCCGACCCAACATAATGTCCATGGGCAACTTAGCATATCGTCCAAACATCAAAAAGTAAGGGGCATACCCTGTAGATGGATGGGGGGTATTATTGTAGGCTTGTACCATCTCTGCTACATGCTGGTCCCAATTTTCCTTCTGGTCATCCCTTAATGTACCCAGCATGCTCAACAATGTTCGATTAAAGCGCTCACATTGTCCATTCCCTGCAGGGTGATAGGGTGTTGTATGGGACTTTCTGATGTCATATAATCCACACAGTTCCTTTATGACTCTAGACTCAAAATTGGGACCCTGATCAGAGTGCAACTGATCAAATCCCCCAAACTGCTGAATGAAATGTTCCCATAACGCCCTTGCAGTTGTCACCGCTGTTTGATCCATGGTTGGCACTGCCACAGCATAACGGGTAAAATGGTCCATCATAACTAAAATGTTACACCTCCCACTACGCGCAGGCTCCAGTGACAGGAAGTCCACAGACACAATCTGTAATGGATAATCTGAATCTATGGATACAAGCGGGGCACTCACTTTATTAGCTGGGGTCTTATGCAGATTACATCGAACACATTTAAGACACCACTTCTCCACTCCTTGTGTCATCCCCGGCCAAAAGAAACGGCGACGGGCCAAGCCGAGAGTTTTTTCCACTCCAAGGTGTCCAGCACGATCGTGCACCCATTCTAGGACTTGGTTCTGCAAACTCTGAGGCACCAAAACTTGTTTCAGTTTGTCAAATGTCTTTGGATCACATACCTCACGGCACAACAATCCTCGATCGGTGCCCAGACGACCCCACTGTCGCAGCACCACTTGAGTAGGTCGATCCTCTGCTGCTCGTTCTCTTGGTCCAGGGCCTCTTCCTCTGTCCATATACATCCACAATCGTGACAGCACTGGATCCGCCCGCTGTGCCCTCACCCAGTCATCCAACAAACTAGGTCCGACACACTCCTCCTGGGTCAACTGTGGCTCTCGTTCTTTGCTTGGCTCCTTCTCCTGGTCCTTAACTACTGGAACAAAGGCATGGACACAAGCATGAACCACTTCAGATGGTACATATCCCGGCTCACCACATGGCACTGCTTCATCCTCTATAGACTGGCCATCTGTCTCTTTCCCAGGCCATCTCGAGAGGGCATCAGCGTTTCCATTCGTCCGTCCTGGTCTATAGCGCACATCAAACTGAAATCCAGCCAATTGAGCCATCCATCGTTGCTCCACTGCCCCCAGCGTAGCCGTATTCAGGTGAGCCAGCGGATTATTATCTGTGAACACAGTAAAGGGAGACACAGCAAGATAGTCCCTGAACTTTTCCGCTATAGCCCATTTTAAAGCCAGCAGTTCTAATTTAAATGAGCTATAGTTTTTATCGTTCCTCTCTGTAGGGCGTAGGCTTCTGCTTGCATAAGCAATTACTCTCTCCTTCCCTTCTTGAACCTGAGCAAGTACTGCTCCCAAACCCGTCTGACAGGCATCCGTATACAGCACAAATGGCAGCTGGAAATCAGCATATGCTAATAGGGGTGCTTGCAGGAGGCTCTCCTTTAATTTCTTGAAGGCGCTTTCTTGCATCTCCCCCCATGCCCAACGCTCTGCTTTACCTGCAGCTGGTTGAGTTCGTCGTTTCGATGTCCCCCATAACATTGAATTCAGTGGTGCTGCAATCTTTGCAAAGTCTTTTATAAAACGTCTATAATAACCCACTAGGCCCAAAAAGGCCCGAAGCTGGGTAATGTTCTGAGGAGCCACCCATGTCTCCACGGCTTGCAACTTCCCTGGGTCTGGTGACACCCCTCCTTCTGAAATCACATGGCCCAAATAATGCACTTTGCTCTGAAACAGAGAACACTTAGTTGGTTTTACTTTCAGGTTAAAATCCCCAAGACGACTAAAAACCAAGTCCAGATGGTCAATGTGAGCCTCAAAAGAGGAGGAGAAAATAATTATATCATCCAGATAAAGCAACACAGTTTCAAAATTTTGATCCCCAAGACAGCTTTCAACCAGCCTTTGAAAAGTTCCTGGAGCATTGCATAACCCCATTGGCATCCGATTAAATTCATATAGCCCCATTGGGGTAACAAAAGCGGTCTTCTCTTTGTCAGCTGGGTGCACCCCCACTTGCCAATACCCATGTGCTAAATCTAAAGTTGAAAACACTGTAGATTTTTTCAATGAGGCTAGTGATTCCTCAATTCTAGGCAAAGGATATGAATCTTTATGTGTAACACCATTCAGACACCTGTAGTCTACGCAGAAACGAAGGGTGCCGTCCTTCTTTCTGACAAGCACTACAGGTGCTGCCCAGGGGCTATAGCTCTCCCTAATAATACCATTCTCAAGCATGTTACTTAAAAGTCCCCTAACTTCCTGATACAATTTTGGTGGAATCCTATTGTAACGTTCTCTAATTGGGGCTGCATCACCTGTTGGTATTACATGCAAGACTCTATCTGTAAATCCATAATCTTCCTCATGCTCTGAGAAAACCTTCTGATGTTTAGCCAGCAAACCAGAAATCATCTCTTGTTGTTTTAGACTAAACTGCTGTGGATCTAACGGTACAGCAACAGGCCATGGCATCTGCACTTGTTCGTCATCCTGCACTCTATTTTGTCTCACGCTTACCTCCACAGTGTCATCATCTAATGATCTTAATTCCACATTTCCTTGCAGGCCAGAAGAACACAACTCCACATCTGAAAGCTGTCCAATCCGGCAGCGTTGGGAGAGGATCACAGCCACTGGGGACAGATTAAGAATTCTAACCATAACCCTTCCCTTTGAAACTGTACTCAACGATCGGGCTACCAATAACTGCCCTGGCAATACATCTGGACATGGTTCTACCAAACCCACATAATCCCTCTTATCAGGCCGAACCCGTGCACATGCCTCGATCACCATCTCTGACTGTGGTGGTATTATTTTTTTCCTTCCCTGGGGCCAGTAAATTGAACTTATCTGCCCCGACTCGTCAGCAAAATGTAATAAATCTTCACACACAGAAAACATCTGGCGCCATACTTTAACTTGTACTTCACTTTCTGAGCCTAGGTAATCATCTCCAGTTTTTGTCATTAAAAATTCTCTACATTCCTTAATTACATTCATGCCAATCAACCCTGGATATGATGATCCGTTTGAATCTTTGACAATAAGCACGCCCCTTTTTGGTATGACTTTGCCACAAATATTTAAATCCACCTCAATGTAGCCAATATACGGGATGACTAACCCATTAGCAGCCACTAGGTTAAATTTTTGAATGGGTGGATACACCATTGGCCCTTCGGTCTCGAAATGTTTCTTAAAATAACTTTCAGTCAATGTGGTTACCTGCGAGCCAGTATCAATTAAGCAAGATGTTTTAACTCCTTGTATTTCTACCTGCACGACTGGACATTGTCCTATTAGGTGATCTTTCTTTTCTAATTGGCCACTACTTGATGTACCCACCGTTTGGGCCTGTACAGTGGGCTCTATAAGTTTAAAGGCCCTTGTGGTCCTTCTACAGTCCTACAACGTCTTTCAATATGACCCACTTGTTTACAACGCCGACAAATAGGTCTTCCCTGATGGTCGAATTGATCAGAACTTCTTCGACCCCCCATCAACTCATACCTAGGTCTAACACCCTCACTCTTAGGCCACATATTCTGTACTCCTTCACGGACTTCACTCATCATTCCAGCTACTATTTCTTTTATTTCTCCTTTCAGCTGCAAAAATACCTCCTGTTTAATTTCCTCTACCAATTTGGTTGTATCTAGAGTTGGTTTCATTTGTACGGTTGCAGCTACTGCTTGCCTTACCTCTCCAAACGCATCTGCTTGTAGGATGGCTTCTCGTTTAATATCAACAAAAGCAATATCTGACGATGCTCTTACCATACCCTGAAGTTCCCTCCGCAGTCCGGCATCAAAAAGTCCCAAAATAAACTGATCCCGTAACACATAGCCTCCAGTAGTGTGATCTCCCCTACTCTCCAACCTATTACTTAATTCCTGAAGTACTAATGCAAACTGTCTCACACTCTCATCGGTCCTTTGTTTACGAGTAAAAAATTGGGAACGAAGGGTTGCAAGAGGGACTGTATCCCCATAATTATTTTTCAAAAATGTCAATATCTGTCCTGATGTTACACGCTCTGCTATCGGCAAAGCTAACACTTCCCTCTTCGCTTCCCCATCTAAATTACTTATTAAAGCTGAAACTTTTTGAGCCTCTGAAAAAGGGTACATATCAAACATTGATTTTTGCATATTATGCCAATCCTGAAAATTATTCTCCTGTGCCGTTTTCTCCCCACTAAATTTTTGACACCATGGTGTCCCCATCATCAAAGGAAACATAAGCATGGCTTGATTCTGGGCTATATTAGGTGAGCTATCAGCCCCCTGCTGCTGCTCACCAGATGTAGAAGGTGACTGGTCTAACTGTTGTGTGGTTGACATTTTCCTGATTGTTGCCCAAAGTCCAGACTGCCAAAACTACGCCAAGTTGTAACCCTCCCAAAAAGGGCATAAAGTATTCACACACAACACAAGTTCTTTGCTGGACAAAATACAGTATTTATTTTGGGCCACAATAATCAAGTAAACGTCAAACACTCAATTCATTTAAATACTAATTTCACTTTTATTTTATACAATAATCTTAAAGATTAAAATTCCACACAAGGGGAGCAGCAGGTAGGGAATCAAAAGGACATAAAGTTCATGATGTAAAGATTGTTAGCGGACTGTATAAAAATTATTAGGTAAGGCAATTAAAATGACCACCACAAGGCATTTAACAAGGGGTAACAACCGTAATTGTGCAACACATCATCATTTCACATCAACCCAGAGTTGTAATACACCACACAGTAAATCTCATAAATATAAATGTATAAATAACACCCATAAATAGACTCCACACAGCAATCAAATCATAAGCTACCATCAATACCACTCCAGCTAAATATCAAGCCGTCGTCATTTAACATTTCCTGTATGGAGCGTGATGCTAGCCTGCGCTCATCCCCGTCACACGCACGCACGCACGCACACACACACACACACACACACACACACACACACACACACACACACACACACACACACACACACACACACACACACACACACACACACACACACACACACACACACACACACACACACACACACACACACACACACACACACACACACGCACAAACAGACAGACTACAAGCGCCGGGAGCAATCAAATTCACTCAAACTCCCGGCGAACAAAATGCAATACACACACCCCGCAACAGTATTGTGCTGCTGGCCCGCTTACCCGCTACCGGACGTGGGATACAGCGATTGGAAGTCAACAGCGGCCGCCGAAACTTTAGTCCGGGGAAACCCCAGCACTACCAATTATCCCTCCCAGTCATTCGCTCGCGCACAACATCATGCCCACGTCCCGGCACGATAGCCTTGGCCAGCGGCTCAGCAGCACCTGCAATCAAAAACCAAGAAAAACCCCTCCTGACCCAGAAACTACAATCGCTTTTAAAGGCTTGGACTCATTACAAATTGAACTCAGCTGTTCATCTCCTGGAAACGTCATAGACGCAAATGACGCCAGTACGCATCATTTTGGTTTGGGAAGCACCGCTTACACCTACATACGAATCTTTTCTTAAAACTGAACTTGTGATTCTTCTGAAACCTTTGGAGAAAAAATGCCTCGCGCTTCTGCAGTAATCTAAAAGTAGTTAAAAAGCCCTAGAGACCCATTTAAACACGTCTTTCCTCTTTCATTTAAAGCAATAAAGTGTATCGTTTCAACATAAAATGCATTTTCTGGCGTTAGGAACATAAGTCAAGATAGCAAACACATTTATTGTGTTTGATCGCTACACGTACCCGTTTTAGTGGCGTCTTTGAGATTGATGTCAATACACGTTACAAAAGAAAGCTAATTAGACTGATGCAGTTCTTACCTTATCCTTCTTTGCTCAAGAATGCTAGAGATGTTGCGTTATAGACACAATACCCTCAGTAGTGATCCCTTCAGGAAGGCAGAGATTAAGTAAGGGGAGGCTGCACGCCCACTTAAGCTACATCACGCCTTGTCATTAGAAAAAATGACGACGACCTGCCCATTACGACCAGCTGAAACTTGTGTACGAGTTACAATTCAAGAAATCAACAAGATAGCTATTAGAAAATAACCCGGGCTTCTTTGTTGAGCAACTTTGTTTAAAAAAATCGCCACACGCTTTAAATAAGCCTCACTTTTTTACTGTTCACTTGAAAAAAGTATTACAAGGTTGATTTTGGACTGGGTTACTGAAGTAGTTCAAATGAATAAAAATACGTTAAAAGCCATCCGTTTGATTATAATGTTGTCTACATTATTGATGTTGTTTACAAGCATGCATTTAAAGGAATATTTCAACTAAACACCAAGCCAACACAATCTCTCCCAAGTCATGTATGATTTTCTTCTTGGACAAAACAGAATATACATTTTATTAAATAATGTCCTTGGTCTTTCTCCTCACTACAGGTTAGAAAGTTTTATATGTATTTTTTTTCTGGGAAATCTAATCGCTTTACGAAAGCATTCATTAACCCACTTAAGTCAGATTACTTATAGGATGACTGGTTGTGCTTTTAAGAGTTTCAAAATCATTTGTATCATTCACTGTCATTCACAAGTTGGGAAGAGCCAGGATATTATTTAATACAGCCCCAATTGTGAAGGTGTGTACTGTACACATAGCTTGAGGTTAAGGAAATTATGGCTTAATTTTCATTTTGGGATGAAGTTTAACAATTAAAGGACAGTTTGATAAAAATACTCACAATTTACTCCCCGTCCAGTGGTTCCAAACCTTTTCAAGTTTCTTTATTCTGATGAACACAATATGAAGATATTTTGAAGAAACCTGAAAACCTTTAACCATTGACTGCCATAGTAGGAAAAACAAAGAGGAAGTCAGTGGTTACAGGTTTCAAGCTTTGTTTAAAATATCTTCTTTTGTGTTAAACAGAAGAAACTCACACAGGTTTGGAGCAAGTTAAGAGTTGGTAAATAATGGCATAATTTTCAGTTTGGTGATCTGTCCCTTTAATAGGCCTTTGTAATACTTTTTTGTGCAAGTCATCTTTTTAATTATTTATAGAGCTTAAAAGCAAATTATTTGATATACCTTGCACAGATTACAAATAAATGATGATGAACATGCTTTACACTTTATTAATTTTTCATTGTTCGTTAGGAGCTAAACTCTGCAGGTACACAGGCCCTCCAGGACTGAGATTGCTGACCCGTTTAAGAAAGTCATCATATTTGAGGCTCTCAGCATTGAAAACTCCAAGAAGTCCTATAAAGCACACTTGAGACATGCATAATCTCTGTTTTTATCTATTTTATCTATTCAAGAATAACTGTAACTGATTCAAACAAATAATCTCAAATCTATGTTGCTGTAAGTAAAAAGATCTGCACAGGTTACACTCTACATTCCTTTATTGTTTTCTGTGACATTTCTCAGTAGATCCTTTAAATGATAAGACAAAGTGATGGAAAGATACAGTAAAAGAAGAGAGTACAAAGACAATTAGTGTGTGAAATGTGCGTGTTAGTGCTTGAACATATTGCTACGCAGTCTTTGTGAGTCACTATGGTCAAAAATGAAACAAAGCACTACATTGCAAAAGCACAGATTATACCTTAAGTCAACTTAAGGCACTTAAAGTTGGTGCAAAAAAGCATGTGCAAGAGCAGCTAAACAGTACAGTGCAATTAAACGTGTACTTACAGCATCTGCACTGTGCATGCAAGCATAATGGAAGACACATAAATATATGTAAGTGTACATCAGAATAGTTATTGAGCTAGACTCATTCTTATGCACTTGTGTACTGTTCTAGGTCTGTGTCATTCTTCTCCTTGAAACGTTACTGAAAAAAGTCCTTCAGCTGTTGTACAGGATATTCAGTTGCATCATGTGTGAGCATTGGAATTTAATATGTCATCAGTGGTGATGTCCTTCAAACAGAGTTGTCCTTATAAAGGTGATAAACAGACAATGATCAGGTAGTGTAATGCATTTTGTACTGGACAAATTGCAAGGATCAATAAACCAGCCAACTGACCAATGAGATTACAGATTACGGATTTCACTCAGTTGTTTCTATAAAGATTACAAAAATGTCAGGAATAAAAAGTATAACATCTTTTTGAGCTACTATGACTTGTTTTGAAGGAAGCGCATAGTTGAATATAAAGATCCTATGCCATATATTAAAATAATAATGTATATTTCTTATAACAGAGAATACTGTAGGTGATATGCTGAATGGCTGATCGTCTCAAGCTACAGTGGATACATTTATGCAAAATTTTCATCTGATCTCAATGCAATTGACAATCATGCTACATTCATCTTACTATAAATGATCACTTCATTACACACACACAAAAAAAAATCATTTTGACTGGAAATGTTTTGATTAAACTATTGTATATTAATACATTACATTTCAAAGGTTTGGGGTCGGTAATATTGGTAAAAGCAAAGAAGATATTATGATAATACTTCAAATGTACTGTGATCCCGGACGAGCCCCCACAAATTTTAAACAAATTTAAGATTTAAGGCATCAACAGCTAAAAGCAAATTTAAAGAACTTTCCAGTACTAGGTTGCAGCTGGAAGGGCATCCACTGGCTAAAACATATGATAGAATAGTTGGCGGTTCATTCCATTGTGGGGACCCCTGATAAATATGGCAAGCTAAGATAAAATGAATGAACTTGAAGATCAAGCTGGTGTGATGTTTTTTATACAATATCAGATGGAGTTTGATTCGTTTTAGTTTGCTTCAGCTCCAACATTTCTGAACTACCACTGGTCTGTTGTAATTGCATATCAAATAGGTGTGTTCTAGGGCTTTACCTTCTATAACCAAAAAAATCTTAATTTATTTTAAGATTAATAAAGATCAGACATTCATGAAGAAAAAAGTATGATTTGAAAACTGATTTTTAATAGAAATTATAAATGTAATTTTAACTGAGTTTCAGCTGGAGTGGCATCATTTTCTGTGTGTTTTTATGATGATAGTGCCTATTGTGTTTAATTTGTTGTTTAATTTGTTGTTGCTTTCAGCAGCTCGGCATTAGAACGTTCGCTCTACAACTGCTCAAGTCTTTTTTAACCCTTGAAATAAACCATAAACCTTTAGGGGACAAAAATGTATACAGGACATTTATACAGTACATTATTTTATATTTGAATATGTGACAGCAAAGCTGAATTTCCCCGTCCTTTAAAACAGAAATTCTTCATAACTTTATACTTTAATATATACTTTTATACTTTAATATACTTAAGATATTATAAGTTTAATATCTTGTCAGCACCAAAACCTAGTGGTTAAGTGCGCTGATATATAATAACATGCTGTTCACTGCAACTCGAGTTGTATTCACAGCTTGGGAATTGGAAATCGGAATTTCCTGTTTTTAATCTTCACTGTCCTATCCAAAGTAAAGATATATATATATATATATATATATATATATATATATATATATATATATATATATATATATATATATATATATATAGATCTTATCTTTAAACATGTCATCCTTGCTGAATTTGCTGAGTAAATTATTAATTTATTTCTGTTAAACAAATAACCATACTGACCCCAAGGTTTTGAATGGCAATGTAAAAATTTATACAACATCTTAGTTTGTGATCATTGTTTTAAAAGTGTATACTTGCTTGGGCCAGATGCATTCCATTTCACAGTGAATATTGATACAGTAACGATGGCGATCACCATATACATTTTAAGTGGGGTTGTAAAACAAACAAAAAAGTCACGGAAGTTAAAATACCAAAAGTGGTTAAATGTGATAATGACTTTGACTTTTGGCCTGCTTGATGAAGTGAAGTCAAACAGACAGAAGCCCGAGAGAGATGGGAAGTGATATCATAACTGCAAACATCCACGGTCCAGTGTGGAAGAATACGCTCAATGCAGAGCACACCAGAACATTTCCTGTTTGAAACACAGAAGTAACATAATGAGCAACAGAGCACTAGTTGAGAAAGCATATTGTGAAAGCTCACAAATTTGGAAAGAAGAAAATATGACAACACATTTCATCTCAAACTAAACACCCAGGAAATATTTGTTGGCTTCCAGCATATGGTAATGGTCTTGCTGAAACATGTTAGACTCACTTTGGTGGAATGCCATGCTGTTCTCCTTCCAGGTGCTGCCCTGGTACACCCTGCACGTGTAAGTGTACGCGCGGTCATCTGACATTGGCATCCAGGTGAGGCGACAAATGTTCGGCGACACCAGGGAGACATTAGCACGGCGTCTGACCTCAATATGAGGAATCAATTGAACTGGAGTATTTGGGTAGGTGGATCCCATGAGTCGCCCATCCTGTCTGAACTCGCAGAATGGGCCTGGGATCTTGTGGGTCTCAGGGAATTCACAGTCAACCTGGAGGTTTTTCTCAATGTATGTAAGGCAGGAGAACATCTGTGGCCCTCGAGGGGTGTTCCAAAACCAGGAGTTAAAATCCAAAAAGCCAGGTTTTAGGTAAGGGTTTGTTGCGCTGACTACACCCACCATACATGACAGATAAGCTGCTGGGAGACACAAAAACGTGATTTGTGCTTTTGTTAATGCTTAGGGAACAGCTGATATTTGTGAGAATGAGACAAACAATTTGTTGTTTTAATAGAAGCATTACAGTGCATCTGGAAAGTATTCATAGCGCTTCACTTTTTCAACTTTTTTTATGTTACAGCCTTATTCCAAAATGGATTAAATTCATTTATTTCCTCAAAATTCTACACACAATACTCCATAATGACAATGTGAAAAAAGATTTTTTGAAATTGTTGCAAATTTATTTAAAATAAAAAACAGAAAAATCACATGTACATCAGTGTTCACAGCCTTTGCTCAGTACTTTGTTAATGCACCTTTGGCAGCAATTACAGCCTCAAGTCTTTTTGAATATGATGCCAGAATCTTGGCACACCTGTTTTGCCAAAGTAGATTAGCATTTTCATACGGGGGAGGAGGCAGGGAGGGGTTTTGCGCTCTTGCATGTTGCGCTCAGTTTCACGTTCATTCGGATGTACAAAAAGAAAATGCGTATGATTCAGCGTACGCAGTGTTTCATACATTTGAATTTTTTACTGTGTACGCACGTTTACACCTTTGTGCGTACACAATGTTTTAGTATGATTTCAATGTAATTCTTCGTACATGAGGCCTCAGGTTTTTCCCCTAAATATAGAGAATTACAAGGTGGCAACCTCCATCAGATTTTGTACCACCTCCATCTTTTGCCAATAATCAGGCAGGGGGTCATGGCTGCTGACGACCCCAAGTGATTCTCAAGCACTAGTCATGTGTTTATTACATTTAATGTTAGACTTTGTGAATTAGATAATAGTTTTACTTAATAAGGTTACAAGAATAATGCAAAATTAGTTGATTTCAGGTAGCAAAAATACCACCCCCACCTCATTTTGAGCCTGAAAAAACCCAGATACCTAGATATACTATATTTTAGATCAGAAAAAACTGGAAGCCTATTGTGCAAATGGTGTCAAAAATGCTCTAATAAGTCAATATACAAGTGTAAAAATATAGATTTTTAATGACACCAAAGTGAACTAAACCGCATTCATACAAACGTAATGTACAAGAGACTGAACGTGATAAAATACCTAGATATACTCACTGAAAGGTTTCAATAATATACTGATAACAAACATCCAAAAACAACTTTCATTTAAGGATGGAACTTGCATGCTTTCCTCTCAATACCAAAATAAGCACAACAAAAATGACAGTGGTAAGAAAGCTACATTTAGGAAAGCAACTGATCATGAGATTCTCGGAAACATGGGTAAATGTCACATCTTTTCGATTTGCCTGGCAAATACATCCCATGTTTCATATAAAAACAAGTCAACAATATAGTACACCTGAAAAAGTCTTGTTTTTAGGTTTCATCTAAAGAAATTTGTAAGTTGGCAATGTAAAAGTGATATATACATCCCTTTTGTTTTGGTTACAGCATTCTAAACACTTTCATTAGTAAAAAAAAACAACAATTTCTCCTTAAAGGGAAAACTTAATTTGTGAGTAAATGAAGTAGATTTGGACATGCTTTAAAACAGCATTCCATGGAAAATATTTTTGCAAGAGCAGATATCAGGAAGCGGAAATGGGCTTGATTTGTTGCCCAGTATTGTATTACATTTTACTACCATGGGATGTTTGGATCAGTTATCTTTAATTCCCACTGCATGTTGGCTGCTCTTCTAATATAAAAATGTCTTATATATGATAGTGTTAATTGTGTTACATAAAATCATGATGCCAATACTGAGTATTTTGACATTTGATTTGAAAGCTTGATTTCAAAAACATTTGTGAGCCATGATGAAATATAAGTAGAAACAGATCCTTTGTTCTGTATCCACACTAACATTCAAACTGATATCTTTTTTTAAATAAAAAGTCTGAATGTGATAAAAAAATAAAAACTTTAAAGGTTTCTAGTTTTGTTAATGTTGCTTATAGCTACAATTACATGTGTCCATTTTACACGTGTACAATGAAAACACTTTTATTTATTCATTCATTTTCCTTCGGCTTAGTCCCTTTATTTATCAAGGGTCGCCACAGTGGAATGAACCGAAAACTTATCCAGCATATATTTCACATATATTTCACACAGAGGATGACCTTCCAGCTGCAACCTAGTACTGGGAAACATCCATACACACTGATTTACACACATACACTGCGGTCAATTTAGTTTATTCAATTCACCTATGGTGCATGTCTTTGGACTGCAAGGGAAACCAGAGCACCCAGAGGAAACCCACATGAAAACGAGGAGAACATGCAAACTCTATACAGAAATTCCTACTGACCCCCCCAGGGACTCAAACCAGCGACCTGTGAGGTGACAGTGCTAACCACTGAGCCACCGTGTCACCAAAAACACTTTCATATTCTCATAAGCTGCACTAACAAAGCTAAAAAAAAAACATTAAGGACCATCCTGGCAATTCTCTATTCACCCTGCTGCTATCTGGTATGAGTGTAGTCTGATGGTCAATATTAATATACTTCTGTGGAGTTTTTTTTCCTCAGGCCATCAAGCTCTAGTACTCAGCCTTTCACCACGCAAAGCACTTTCCCTTTATTTATTGCTGCTATGTAATAAGCTCCACAACCAGTTTTATATCTATGCAAAACCATGCGAACATACCTCTGCATAACCCTAACTTGTTTATTCATGTTGAGTTAAATATCAGTGAAGTGGCTACAATAAGGTGTCATTATTCTCCTCACGTTGAGTACAAAGAGAAAATAATCAGAAGGAACAAAACATAAACCTGACTTACATTTAAGACTCAGTTACAAATATAATATATACCAATATAACATTTTCTGAAACAAACAAAAAATAATAATAATAGAATAATGTGAGTGAAATCTACAGAATTAGCTTTTTTATAAACCCCTCTTTTCAGTAAGCGCACTATGCTCTGATTGGTCAGATGGCCCTTTTTTTTTTCAAAAGTACTGACTTCAGTATTAATTGGTACTGAACATTTAATTATGTCCACATGTTTGTGTGCTCAACAGACATGACTGGCTCCAGTGATCATCATTTGAACACTTTTGTGAGATTACACTGATACACAGTCAATGGTTTGTTTGAAAGCTGTGTCTATCTGAGGATCCATCTATGAGCAGATATATGAGAGATGCGCTGACAGATCAGCTGATAGACACAGCTTTCAACCTGCGGTGATTGTAGCCAATTATATATATTAAGTTTGTAAACACAATGGCCAGTCAGCTGTGTTTAAGGGTGCTTTCACACCTGTGAATCGATTTAGTTGTTCCGAAACAGAAATTACAAATGTTACATTGTTGCTCTTTGCTCTTGGAGCGGTTCGCTTTCACACTGCAAAGTTTCTAATCAGACCAAAAGAGCTAAAACAAGTCACGTGCGAGTAAACTCTCCTCACATTGGTCAGAGTGTCAGGGTTTATTTTGCAGTGTCCCGCTCAGCTGTCAGGAGAGATGGTGGTTTGCTGGTGATTGACAGGGTGCGCGCGCGACGTGTCTGAGGAGAGATGCAGTGGGGAGGGGTGAAAAGGGTGCGAGACGATGCCTATTTAAGGACCGGGAGGGAGACGCGAGATTACCGGGAGATCATCACTCGTTTGCGGGTATCCGGAGATACGCGAAACTTCCCGGCCAACTCATAATTCTCTCTTCATATAGCCGTATGCCTATTACATATCCATAAAACACTGTGATATAACCGCGCTCGGATTGGATTGCTTTCTCACTGCAATCGAACCGCTCCAGGGTTCGTTTCAATCGAGCCGAGACCACTTCACTCAGGCGGTCTCGGTGCGATTACTTTGGCGCAGAACAGACGCGATTGCCTTGTTCACATATGCCAAACGAACCGCGCTAACTGGGCAAACAAGACAGGTTCCGTGTAGGTGTGAAAGCACCCTAAGAGTCCACTCAACAGTTTGTAAAATGCAAGCTTAAAATGCTGGTGCCTTAAATACATATTTACTTTACAGAACCTATCGCTTGTTTTTGGCACCAATTTTCACAGCTTCAGTGATTATAACAGCCCAATATTGAATACTGATGTATGGTAATATATGAAAATGTGACAAGTTCAAGGTTGGATTTCACATATATGTCATATATGCCATCTACATTTTTTTTTCATCCATTGAAATTACAAAAATGTATTGTGCATATAGTATTATACAAAAATATGTATATTACCTAAAATTGAATATGACTGTTTATATTTGACTTTAGTTCTTTTTTTTATATATACAGCAAATGTCATGCTAGAATAGTTTTGTCTCTACGACTAATTCTCTTCATCACAAGATGTTGACATCACAAACCAACTTTTGAATCCAACGAGTTGAAAATGGGTGGGCAGCCTACACCACAGCTTTAATCAAATATGTTATGGATCTACAAATATCAGAGGCAGAAGTGAAACCAATGGCTTGTTTCACTCTTATGAAAGATTCTTTCATAAAAATATGAAGTCTATTGTTTATTTACACTTTAGATACACTGTAAATTTCACTGCAGTAAGCCATGCTTTTTTAAAAAGCTCCAGCAGTTTCAGCTGTTAAATTTAAAATCTAAAATAATAAAACAACTGAATATAAGTTTAAAAATAAATATTTTAAAAGTAATAGCTGTTAATTATTTTACATTTTAAAATAGATTAGAATAGCACCACGGTGGCTCAGTAGTTAGGACTGTCACCTCACAGCAATAAGGCTGCTGGTTCAAGTCACGGCTGGTCAGTTGACATTGTGTGGAGTTTGCATGTTCTCCTCCGTGTGCTCTGGTTTCCCACACTGTCTAAACACATAGGTGAATTGAACAAAGTAATTTGTCTGTAGTGTATGTGTGTGAATGTGAGAGTGTATAGTTGTTTTCTAGTACTGGGTTGCAGCTGGAAGGGCATCTGCTGTATAAAAAATATGCCTGATAAGTTGCCGGTTTATTCTGCTGTGGTGACCCATGTCGAATAAAGGGCTTAAGCCAAAGGTAAATGAATGTATGAATAGATAAGAATAGTCTCACACTTACACTTCACTTGTAAAGTGAGTTTCTTTTTTCTGATAAATAAAATGCATGGTAGCTGGCACTCACTGACTTGAAATGTTCATTTTTGAGGTGAACTATCCCTTTAAAAATGGGTCTCCCACAATCCAATTTTTAAAAGGGACATTTTACTCACACAACACAAAACAAGTTGCCAGTGACGGACAAGACTTCATTGCCTCTTCTTAGCAGGGTCCAAAATAAATGTCTGCCTCTGAACAACTGTAGAGAAAAAAAATATTAAAAACGTTAGACTTATGTAATTTTACAAAAACATGCATGAAATCCTAAACATTAAACAACTGTCCTGCTAAAAACAAAGGTCATTTTGTGGCCTGTTTTAGGTGACGGTCTTGTTGCTCAAAAATCGAACCTTTACAGTTTACTAAACTAATTATATTCAGCATATGGGTAAATACATACCCATACATAACAGACTCGGTTGATATAAAACGAAAATAGGCTACTAAATTACCGCATACCGCAGACCGACCCATCCCATATCTGTTCAAGGAGACTAAGTCATTCAAACAGGAATATTTTCCCTTACAGAAATAATCGCATCTAAACACATGCAAAACAGGCAGTTATTAAGGCTGGCTAAAAGACGACATTTGTGTTACCTTCGAGAAAATTCGGGCTGTTTCCTCGTCTGCAAGTAAAGGCACGCTGGTCCTGCTTAAGGACGCGAGTCGATGGAGATGCTGATGAAGCCGCAGCTCCGCCGCAGTCGAGCGATAAATGCAGCACAAGAAACAGTGCACAAACAGCTCTCCTTTTGCTATCCTTGCTAAATGAATCCTAAATGTCTCGTCCTATGATTTTCCCGTTATTAAAATAACTGGGCAACCCTTGCATTTCTTAATAAAAAACTGCGGTATGCATGTATCTATTAAACTAGATGGATATTATTAATGATGGTGCAATAAATATAACCAAACAGTTTAACAAGGAACTTTTAAACAACCCCACAGGACAACATGGGCTATATTTGGTCGTCCGTATGAATTTAGATCGCTCAAATGATGACGCAGCATCTGAGAAGGTGCACGTCTGTTTAAACTCTCCACCAGAGGTCGCTATGCACACAAAATATTTACTAAAAGTTTTATGTACAAAGGAGTTAAACAATTGGGAAAGTTTATCAGACTCTCAAATAAAAAAGCCTCAAATCTCCCACATTGCTCTTTTTATAAACAGTAAGTAAACAGCTTTTTGTGAAAAATCTGCAAACTACTGGGATGCCTCAAGGATCAATGCTTGCTCCTATTCTTTTCTCCATTTACTCAACCTCAGTGTGGTCTATATCACACTAGAATCTTTTATTGCAAGGATGATATAGGCACTATCTTTCATTTAAACCACATGGCCATACTTTCTGGTCGAAAGAGACATAAATTACAAAACTGATTTGATGATGGAGTATCTACAGCCTTGCAAAAAGCTCCTTGTAATCCCTGCAAACCCATCAGTTGACCACAACATTGCAAGCTCACCAGCCAGGACAATAAGGAACCTTAAGGTAGAGTTTGATGACCAGCTGAGCTTATCCACCCACATCTTAACAATGGTCTGGTGCCCTGGTCATGTAGCGTTGGCACAATTCTGACCCTTCCAGTTTGAATACACAGTACAGTCATTCATCAAAGCACTTGAAATATCAAGACAAGACTACTGCAATGCTTCAATAGTGGTCCTCCAACAAACACAACTAAGGCTTTGCAGATGATCCAGAACACAGCAGTACATCTTCAGTGTCAAAACGAACTCACATCACTCCTGATCTCACTCTAATGACCATATCTGTGGCTATATTGAATTCTGGCTTTCAGAACCACTGCTGGAACAGACTACCACAATTCACTTCAAATACATGCTGCCAATCCCCAGCTCAGGTCACTGAACAAGTGAGACTTTGTTTTTTCACAGCTGGTCAAACATTCATTCTTCAAAATTCCCCTTTTATACACTAATCTACCCCCTGGCAAATGAGTCACCTCCGTCAAACTGCTATCTTAAAGCACATCTCTATTATGCACTCCGTTATTAAAACAAAGCATGGTTTGTAAAAATGTTTACTGTAATAATAATAAAAGAAATTCCATAAAAAAGATTATCCTCTGCTTGTTTTAAAATTTAGCCATCTAATAAATCTGGCATTGTTTACTGATGGTTGTTTAACGTTGGCTCTTTATGCACTGCTTTTCCCCACTTAAATTTGGATGAAAGGATTTGCTACATACACCACTATAACTAATGTTACAGGTTGTTGTTGTTTTTTCCTCAGTACATTTCAAATGAATTTTGACCATGTCAGAGGTTTTCCTAGTTTTTCATTAATTCATCATCCAGCATATTTTTTTTGCAGTGGATGCCCTTCCAGCTGCAACCCATCACTGGTAAACACCCATACACTCTTACTTTCACACACATACACTACGGACAATTTAGCCTACCCAACTCACCTATACCACATGTCTTTGGACTTGTGGGGGAAACTGAAGCACCCGGAGGAAACCCATGCGAACACAGGGAGAACATGCAAACTCCACACATAAAAAATGCCAACTGACCTAACCGAGGCTCAAACCAGCGACGTTCTTGCTGTGAGGCGAACTTGCTACCCACTGCGCCACCATGGAACCCGTTTTCCTAGTTTTCTACTGTTTAAATATAACGTTAGAGTTTGCTTTACCTATAGCCTATCATAAATACAACTCTTAAAGTTTTCTCTATTTGTTTACTTTATCAAGTTTAAATGTTCATATACAAACAAGAAGGTCAAAAGAGTATTCTTTGTACCACAGACTGTAAAATGATTTGTACTTTTTTTTTTTAAATTCATGAATGAAATATACAACCACAATCAGGAGATCAATATAGGAGAGATACTGTTACAATTGTTCAAAAGTGTATGAAAATAAATAAATTAAGAACACTGCAAGAAAGCTATCTAACTCAAATCAGAGTCACTAGACAACAGTTCTTCATATAGTACCAAAAGTCTGACACATTTTTGTTGTTGTTACACATACAGAAAGATGTGAGCATTGACTCAACTGCAGTCAGAGAAAAAAAGTTGAAGATAAATTCTTTAGATTTAGGTGCAGATTCTGAGTAATAATAGTTTCTTTTAAACTAAAAGGTTGTGCAAAGGTAGGAGGGGTGTTTAAATAATGATAAAGTACAAGTCAAACCAAAACTTCTGAACATACACACATTCAAAATAAATGTATTTAAGATGTATCATCCTTACCACAAAATGTACAATTACTCGGAATATCAACATATTTAAAAAATGAATTAGTTAACCGGATATATTGTATGCATTATTTTAAAAACCGCTTTGTACTCTGTAAATAAAACCCCTCATATATTTACTACAGAATGAAAACACCTCAGGTTATTCTCTTGCGTTCTCTCGCATTTGGAACGAGTCTCTGCATTGCTGCCCTCTGTCGTAGTGGAAGGCGACCACGACCAATTAACCTGTAGAGCTTGTTCTTTTATGTATATATCGTTTTTAATTTCCAATTTGAAGTATATTCAAGACTACAACTACAAATATTTGACGAATAGATTTCAAATGAACTATTTCTGCATCGATCCGCGTGATGTTGTAGAAGCGTCCCATCTCCATGGCAACGCCAGGCAAGCAAAAGGACGTGTTGTCTCGTGGCCTGTAAACTGCCGAAACTGCTCATAATAAATCGTGTTTTAGTGCTTTTGAACTTAACACAGCAAGATTTGTTTAGTCTCAAAAGCGTCGGTGAAGCGAGTTTTTCAAGGTGTCGTCGACAGGTCGAAGAGATTCTTTAAAAAAATAATGAACATGAAAAATGTTATATTTCATGTTTTTCTTTAACGTATTTCGAGAAATCATAAAATCGTTTTTAAACTTTAATGTTGTTTTATAATAGGAGTCAAGGCTTCAGAGATGGAAAGTCCTCGTATCGGTGTGGTGAGAGACTCGATGCTTCATCGTCCTCTATTGATTAAGGTCAGGACTAATATTTATTTATGTATTTGACTTGTTATGATGACGTTGTTTATACTTAATTATACGTTATATAAACACACTCATAATTACTCTTAAGGCAAGACAGTGCATGTAAATAGGGCAACAACAAAAAATGCTAATAGTTATAATCATACTTTCCCAGCAGTTGACTGTTTGTATTTATAGATTTCTATATTACAATTTTTTTAAATTTCTGTTTAATTTTGAAAACGAGACAACGTTAATTGCACACTATTTGCTTAGATACTTTCTGACTCAGTAAATGAGAAAACAGCCTTTAATAACATTGTGAGTGAAATCTACAGATTCAACCTGATAAAATGCAAAACACTGTGCTGAATATTTTCCTCACATTAGACGACATGTCCAAACTAGAGCCTGCGAATCAAAACTGGCCCATGGTAACCTTTGATTTACGCCGTCATCCCATCTTAAAAGAGAGGAAGAATAATGGGGACGGTTTAGAGACTGTAATTTCTAATTAAATGAAACCTTTTGTTTGTTTTTTTTATTGCCAAGATCCAAAAGGTAATGGAAATTGGATGTTTCATTTAAATGAATTTTTTAATGCACATACTGTCACCCAATGGATAGAACACAATGCAGAGACATCAGTGAGCAAATAGACAGAAATGAAAAGCTGATAATATGCAAAACACAGATACAACCTGATAAAATGCAAAACACTGTACTAAATATTTTCCTTACATTAGACAATAAACCCAAACTAGGGCCCGCAAACCAAAACTGGCCCATGGTAACCTTTGATTTAACGTTAGGTCGCCATCCCATCTAAAAAGATAAATTGGGATGGTTTAGGACTGTAATTTCTAATTAAATGTAACCTTTTGTTTGTTTGTTTTATTGCCAAGATACAAAAAATTTATGGAAATTGAATGTTTTATTTAAATTATTTTTTTTAATGCACATACTGTCACCCGATGGATAGAGCACAATGCAGAGACATCAGTGAGCAAATAGAGCAAATAGACAGAAATTAAAAGCCAAAATTGACAGGTGCATAAAAACTGTTTTTTTTTTTTGTTTTTTGTTTTTTGCCAGTTTAATTATTGTCTCGCCTTAATTTAAACATTACTGATGTTCTATAGTGGAATTTTAACATTTACCTTATTGCTTGGAAACATACACAAACAAAAACAGCACCACAACTAGAATGATCACTAGATGGCAGAGTTAGTCTCTAAATAAATCTCACCCCGACAGTCATGCTTGTGTGGTCTTCCTCAACACTGACTGCTAATACAATAATAAGTGAACAAAGTGAAAAAGGATACTCATCCAGAATGTGCGATTCACAGACAATTAGTATATTCACAGTTTGATGCTTAAAGAGAAGAAAAAACTGACTCCATTTTTACTCATCAAAAATACGACTTAGTATTTTTTAATGTTGAAAGTGAGTTATTCAGTACATATTTAACAAATCCTGTCCAGTTAATAAAATTAGGAATCAGCTTTAAGAAGGAATTTAGTGCAACATGTAAAATTAAGATGCAATTAAAGAGTTTAAAAAGTTTATTTTGTCAAGGGCAATTTAGTCATAATTGAAAGCTTTCTTTGATATTAAAGTTTTTACAGAACCTTATCTGCCAACAAAGAACATTTTATTTTTAACAGCTCTCAGTACTGACATTTGATGAATAGTGTTTATAAGATGTACCCCCCCCCCCCCCCATGCCTTCTCCTCTAGTTAACCCTCTTTGTGAGACCAAGCACAAGTCTTGAATCTCTAACTAAGTACATCCAGCGTATCTTTCATCTAATTCTGCTTCATTTAAACTTCATCAACTCTTCCAGTGGAGCAGAAGGAGAATGAAATGAACCCGCACAATCCTCAATGTTTCTCCTTTTCCTCTGCTCCCATGGCCTTTCTCTCTTTTCACACTCATCCAATCATCCTGTCCATCCCTGGTGGGATAAGACGCCTCCGTCAGACCTTTGCTTGCTCTCGCCCCTCCTTTCTTTCTAATGTTCTCTAGGGTTATTTGATATGCCCCTTTTGACTGATGCAGAAAATAGGATTACTGTATTTAAATGACTATGATAATGAACTGCGTGCATGTTCCCATAGTCCCACGAGATCAAGGATTTCTCATTCTTTTTCATTGTGAGCAGTCATAGCTACAGGTTTTGGCAATGCGCTGGAACAATGACAGAGTCATCTGTGAGGATTTAAGCTTTTGTTCTTGTGGCGTTGCCTGATGTTGCTCTATTTCTTCCCTCTCGTGCGTCTATAGTTGTGAGAGCTGTAGGTTTGAGCGTTCACCCTCAATCAGCAGAGGCTCTCTTTTGCTTGCATGCTGTGTAAAGGAAGAGCCACGAAAGGCTCGTTCATTAAGAAATAGGCCAACTGCAGCAAGTCCCATGTGCTGAGAGCATCTCTCGTCGGCCTGCACAGTAGTTCATCATCGCAGGAGTTTTCTCTGCTTATGCAGGCCTGATGTATGGCTGTCCCGTGGGGAAAAGGGACATATATCTTAGTAATGTGCTAATGGGCCTCAAAGTGAATAGGAGATGAATTAGGCTGCATCTATTTTCTTAAATCAAAGTTCATAATTGGCATCTATGTTTCACTAAATTATCTTTAATGTTCATGGAATATTTTTCATTGATCGAAGAAAAAAAAATTGAAGAAAATTGAACGGTTTACGGAAAAGTACTGATGAGAAACCTGAATGTTTATTCTTATGTATGGAAACATTTATTATGAAAGGTTTGGATCACTTCAAAATGAAAATTTTGTCATCATTTACTGATCCTCATGTCGACTCATCCCCATTTGATGTTTGTTCATCTTCTAAACACAAATGAAGATATTTTTAATCAAATCTGAGAGATTTCTTCCCTTCATTGAAAGTCTGTTCACCCAAAACTCTGGTGCATGAAACTGTTTATAAAAGATTAAAAATAAATCTGTGTGAATTAAAGGGATAGTTCACCAAAATGTAATCACCATTTACTCTCCCTTGTGTAGTTCCAAGCAGTTATTTTCACCGAGTTTTTTCCCTACCGAACACGAAAAGACGATATTTAGAAAAAAATACTATTGAAGTCATTGGCTATTGGCTGGGTCCATTGACATTTCTGTGTGGAGTTTGCATGTTTTCCCCGTGTTCTTGTGGGTTTCCTCAGTGCTCCGGTTTTCCCTACAGTCTAAAGACATGTGCTATAGGTGTATTGGGTAAGCTAAATTGATCGTAGTTTATGTGTGTTTGCACATGAGAGTGTATGGGTGTTTCCTAGTACTAAGTTGCCAATAGAAGGGTATCCGCTGTGTAAAATATATGCTGGATAAGTTGGTGGTTCATTCCGCTGTGGTGACCCCTGATGAATAAAGGGACTAAGTCGAAGTAAAAGGATCGAATGATTGAATTTTTTAAAAAAGTGGAGGGTGAGTAAATGATGATAATTTTCATTTTTGGGTGAACTATCCCTTTAATTCAGGTCCCCTGAAAAGACATAATCACTTTACTGCGTGGACAAAAATAATTTTTAAGTAAACACTAATCAGTGAACGTAAGCAGAAGATCAGTCAAATGAGAACAAACCTCATTGGCTCTTGCTGAAGCTAAAGCTCTGGTGTGATATGAAAACAACCACACGGGTTTTTGCACATCAAGGAAGCATGTTTGAGCTTCAAAATCTTCATAAATCTAATCATAAATTTGCTTATTACATAAAGCAAACTCTTCAGTCCTTATTGATTTTTTTATCTCTGTGTCAGAGTTTTGAGGGAATGAACTTTCAATTAAGTAGGAAGTCTCAGATTAAAAATATCTTCATTTATCTTCTGAAGAAGAGCAAATTTCTAATAGGTCTGTAATAACTTGTGAATGGGTAAACTGACAAAATTTCTGAATTAGAACATTTTCTGTGTTTGTGACCAAAAAGTTGATAGTGAGGAAAGGCCTCTCCTCTCTTTTCCTCTCCTCTTGTTAATTCCTTTTTGATGAGGCATGGCCAATAAATCCTGTTTTCATGCCTGTATTCCCTGATGACCAGTAAATTAGAGATCAGGGGAGCAGATTTGGGGCTTTTGTTGTTCTCTGGTGTCTGAGAGAGCCCTGCTGTGCAGCAGGCTGGTTGGGCCCCATTCACAGTCCCCTCTTCCCACTCATTACCATTCACTTCATTCAGCCTATGTAGCTAATGTTAGACACACGGCAATCTGCACTTCATTCTTAAGCAAATCTGTACTGTAGCCGATATTCGCCTGCAGCGCAAATTTATTATGCATATGTGGTCTGGCCTAAAGCAGTTTTTTGCCCGAATTAAACTTCAGTATATAAAAATAAAATAAATGCAGTTTGAAAGCTCAGGGCGCTTTAAAATGCAATGCTAGAGTGTGGGATTCGATAAAAAAATCAGTTGCCTACTGACTTTAATTGGCCCCTGGAATGTATTTGAATTGCAAAAGAACTGGCCCAGACTTTGACCTTCACCCACCTTTCACAGGCATCTTCAGTTTGGCCCATATTTACAGCCCTCAGTAACATCCCTGCAAAGGTGCTTTAGCTTCCACACGGTCACTGTTGCAACACCGGGCCTTATTATTAATGGGATCCAGCTGGGACCGCTGTAGACACATGCACAGAGAAACAGATACATAACCATGAACCTAATACATAACTGTAAACTGCTTGCATAATAGACAAATGTAAATGAGATATGTAAAGAGACCTTTGGCATACGTAGTCTGTCATAACAGGGGCCGCATGCATTCATTTATGGATTAAGAGAGTGGAAAGCATATATCATTCTTGCCCGCAGTTGTAGTGCTAACTACTGGTGGAGTCTCTGAGGCCACTGTCAGCAGGGACAAATGAGAACAAGGAATAATATAAACTAGTTTATATGTTTTCAGTATGTTTTCAAAAATGATTGTTGAAATATTATTGGCCTTTTTCACAAAACAATTCAATTGATTCTGTTATAACTTATTTGAATCATAAGAATGC